AATTACACCACGAATTTTGCGAATTACAACCTGAAATTTTAACATTTGGCAGGTATTAGTACAACAAATACCTTGACCAGCCATACTTGTTTTTATTTTCATGAGCTAGCCGCAATTAAGGAAGAATGGGAATCCTTGTGTAGTCTCTTAGGAGGACAAAAAAACAAGTACGGTAGGTCAAGGTAGGTGTTTTACCAATGCCAACCACATGTCGAAATTCCAGATTCGATGTCGTAAAAATCGTGATGTATTTTTGCGATAATCTCACATTTTCCTCAGCTATCTTGTGTGTTGTATGGGATTCTTTACAAGGCCATAACTTTTGGTGGAAGATGATGTGAGACTTGTTACCACCATCGTTTTTCTCGCAATGCTCCCAGGTAAGTGCACACCAAATTTTATCGTATTCTGTGAAGAATTTTTTGTGCTGATTTCAGTACTGGAAGCATCCCCCACGACGTCGTCAATTGATCGTGCAATACCTAAATCAACTCAGATTCGATTTTTTTTGGCATCTGCGCTTTCCGTATTGTCTCCTAAGAGCACTCACCACCTTTCAAGCTATAACTCGTCGAAACGACAGCATGAGACGCGAACGAACAAATGTGAGCTTCTTGGCTGGCCCAGCTTGTAGTTACCCCCGCGACGGCGAAATACACATACGGGATCGTCCAAAATAATCTCCTGCACCCATTGTTACTCCTTTTGGCACATTCCAAGAATCGAGCGTGAGCAAGGTGCTTTGGGCACTGCTGCGATGTCAAAGGCAAGCGTGCGACAAAGCTTTAGCAAATGATGTCGGTTCAGTAAAGACGCGTAGAACATTGAAGGACTTGCAAGTGACGTTGAATGTAAGCCACATTAGTCTAGGTCGATATTCTGGAATCCAACAACAATCGTGCACCAAGGGAACAAGGTGGGGGGGTCAAGGGTGGTGAGTAGAATGTAACAACAGCGCAGCGTCACAAAGACGAGGAGCACAACGAGCAGGTAGGTGTTCGTAAAACGTAACACAGAAGTGCCGCTACCAAATCATGGTATACCTCCTGGTCTGAGTTATCAACAGGCTTCTTGCTCACGCCGACGATCCAGTCCTGAAGTGCGTCCGTGATATGCGGCACCACCTGCAAGGAAGGAATCGTAACAAGATTGAACACTACTGTGAAACTGAACAAAACGTAGGCCATCTGAAAAGGTGAGATCGAATCAAACATCATCATCCTTGACAGCATTAAGCAAGCCAGTCGACATCAAACGTCGAACGAAACGTTTCAAAACAATGAACAAACAAGCGAACACGACCTGACACCACATCAAACCAAAATCATGCAAGCAAGCAACCTCTTCCAAAAAGAGCCGATGTACGCGCGCTCGGCAAATAAGTTTGTTCGGAAGCCACCTTAGATGTCATTTATTCAGGAATATGCCCGAACACATACATGGAGGCAAGGAGACAGTTCAGCTACAGACCAAACTGCACTGCATACCGTAGACGACACAAGATGACACACCCACATAAGAAACCACACCCCCCACAGAATACGACACCCCGGTGATAATTTTTGGCGTTTCTGACAAACCATCGATTCATCACTGGGGCTACATAAGATAACATACCCCTTGAGGTTACGCCGCAAGCTCCTCCGTCTGTCACCAGGGTGATACAACATCTGCCGCGTGGGCGTGTGGGCATCTCACACACACAACATCTGCGGAACTCTCTTTTGGTCGTACCCAATAGCAAGGTATGCGGTTACCTACTTGTTTGTGTGAGGGGGCAGGACGGATGGCGCACTCTATGGCCACCGAGTCATGTGCTCAGGAGTTTCGTCACCTCCGTTGAGCTCCTTGGTTGTACCACATTCCGCAGAACCACAAGTCATGAAGTGTTCGTACAGGCATTGCTATCACACCCCCGCAATACCAACCAAGTGTGCGGCAGCAGCGGTTCAACTCTACAAAAAGTGTTGAAACACCATTTATCACACACCCTCATTGTTACACCCGAAAAATACCCTGTGGGTATTCGGACGTGCTAGCACACCCCCTTACCCCCTCATTCATCACACCCCAAACACACCCTGTGCGCATTCGGACGCGCTATCACACCCCCTCAAGGGCTCAAGCGAGCTGCACTTTATCACCCGGGCTACATAAGATACGACACCCCCCACAGGATACCACAACCGGTGAAAAAAAAATTCAAGCCCAAAATGTTATCACCGTAGTGTGTTATCTTGTGTCGTCTACGGTAAACATACAAGCACGAGAGCGGTCATTTCATGCAAAGGTTTGAATGTGATTCTGTCCGACGGGAAAAAGGCACAAAATAGAAACCTCTAAGACGACAATGAGACATGTATCAAGAAGCAATACGAATGTCAACGGACACTTGTCACTAGCAAATTTTCAACGGACCCCAGAAGTTGAAGCGAGAGTAGCTACGCACCTGCACGGTCTTCCCAAGGTAGTCTCCTCTCCGTTCCTTCTCGATAACGTACTGGTAAATCTTTCTGCCAGTTCATGCGACACCGACAACAAGACGGTGTACCAATAGTGAGCCCCCCTATCGTTGCAAAAGCCGCTACTTGCAACATATCCTTACAGATCTTGCTCCCTCGTACAAAGCACACATACGCTCTGTTGCATTGCTCATCAGTGGGCAGCGAGTGAACAACATGAACCGTCCCTGCGTTACGTTGGTGTTCGTGACGGCTGTGATGGCTCAACCTTGTTTGCTATGGTACATATGAACGTTCCAGTGCGGCGCACGCAGGCGTACCCGTCGGGCAAACGCCGCACGTCAAACGGGATGAAGACTTGGCACCTTTGGACGTGAGTCGGCTAGGACGGCACCATATCCACTCTCAGAGCTGTGTTTCCATTGCAATACTGTTGTTCTCTACGGGAGTGTAGACCACCAATCCGTGTACGTACGTACCCTGTCGTGAGGTTGGACTCATTCTTGAGGTTGACGCCCATGAAACGCTCATAGTTTCCTAGATCCAGATCCGTCTCTCCACCGTCATCCAGCACGAAAACCTTTTTGCAGGAGAAAGAAAGAGAAACATAAAAAACAAGACCAACTTCCGCACCGACAACACAAGCAGCATCAACAACGATCGCACATAGCACGAAACCTAAAACACACCTCGCCGTGCTCAAACGGAGACATGGTGCCAGCATCGACGTTCAGGTACGGGTCAATCTTGATGGCCGTGGGTCTCAGCCCCATCATCTTGCACAGCACTCCAATGCTCGAGGCCGTTACCCCCTTGCCGATGCCGCTCAAAACCCCACCTAGTCGGTCGTATTCATAAACGCATAGGCAGGGAAAGCAATGTCGTGCAGAGTGGGACGCCGAATCAATGGACTGCCACACCACACTGCTGCGAATGGTATGAGACGAGCGTCGTGTGTGTGACATCACCACTCCGTAAACAAATAGTCTCTTGCGACCACCGTATTAGTAACATCATGGACGATTGCCTCCTTTCTAGACAGGTTCTGGCGGCAACTACCTCGTAGGCTACTCACATGGCACACGGTCCTTGTTGACACCGGGTGTGGTGGTGTCTGCCAGGTGGTGATGTTCAATGCGGTCATGAACAATCTGAGGGACTACCTCAAAGAAACCAACACATTTGATGTGTGGTTGTAACCGGGCGCAGCTTGCTTCGTGTAACCGGGTATTTGCTGTGCGCACAACTCACCGGTGACAACAATGAATTTGCACTCCTGTTTATGGTCGCCCCGAAACCTAGCCATGACGTCGAGTACACCTTCATCATCACCAGCACCAGCAGAACCACCAACGTCGATCTCGACGTCGCTTCTGCTGTCCTGTTCGTAGTCGGGCATATAATCGAGCTCGCTCGAAGATTCTTGAGACGCTTGCGACTCTTCAGATTCTTGAGACCCGAAAGGTTGTTCAACCTGTCCAAGGTCCTTCACCGTCCTTCCTCTTCCTGTTCCCTTCCCCCTGTCCTTCCCCTTGCCACTGCCGCCACCCCGAAGTGCCATTGATCTCCACATCACCATCGACATCCATGGCGCTCTCTCTGAGTGCCCGCTCCCTTTATGCAGCCGCGTTGGCATTGATTGCGGGAAGGAAGATACTGGCATGAGGCAACACATTCGTTCATCGCTATGGTTGCGAATGCGTTGACCGCCGTCAAGACGAATATTTTTGCGAATGACATCGCATAACCCCATAACGGTACGCAACAACAGCGTCAATACACACCATCATCACTGGCAACGAAGTACACAGCAGTATAATAGGGAATGCGTCTGGCCCAACCAACATGATGGGGTCGCCGCCACGAGATAATCAGCGCTCCTGCGGTTGACGTACACCCGGCAGTGCTTGGTGTTTCGATAGACAGCATGGCATACGGATCGAAGTGCCACACATGATCGTGTGTGCGATGTAAAGCGACTGCTGTATAGTAGTTTATGCGTCAATGCTCTCACCGCAATCGTTTGGAGCGTGGTGTGCGACCTGTTTGTGGCCGCCAACACCAACCTCGTCGGCAAGTGTAGGATTCGGACCTGCGATTGCCCTTTCCTCTGTGTTGTTTTTATCGCTAGTCCTGCGACTCAGCCGCCGGTTCAAACCCTTCCACCAACCAACAAACCCAGGCAATGGGCTGCTTGTGAAGCTTCCACCACTATTGCGCGAAGACGAGGCTGTGTTGCGAACGCCAGCAGCGGCGGATCGTCCAGTCGTAGTAGCAGTCGATGTTCTGCACTGGGTCAGCAGCACAGCAGTGAGGCCCGCAACGAAGGCCATCAAAGCCTGTTTACTACGTCGCCAATTCATTGGAGAGCTTCCGCCACCACAGTGAGGTCTGTCCCTGCTGCCCTCTTGTCCCACCAGTCGCAGCTCCACAAGGCTGATTGTTGTGTTCAGTAGTTCATGATCCAGGATGCGGCGCAATCAGAGGCTCAAACCACGGAGCCCCACGCTGCAGGCTGACGGCGGGACACCGTGACTCCAGCTCGTGTCATCTGTGTCTCGTGTGCGGCTGTTGAGAGACACACACTGCCGACTGCTGTGAGGACGATTGCGCGCAACATGGCGAGACTGGCAGTAGTCGCAATACTTGCGAGTGTACTGACGGCCTTATGCTGGTCCCAGGCGTTTGCGTTCGTGGGAACGGGCATCAACCTGGTGAGTAAACCCAAGCCTTATACGGGGCGGCTTGTGACATGTAGACAGAGAGAATGGCGGGTATCATGACATTTACGAAGCTGTACTACAGCAGTAGCACACAACCAGCTTGATACCAGTCATAGTCTACATGGACTAGTCGATGCGGGCAAAGTGAAATCTAGCTTTCTTGCATGCATCATATCGCATTTGACTGCTGACTCCACGCCGTGAACAAATCGGCAACGTACACCAGTACGGAGGCACAGCAGAGTTTCTTGTGTGCACGTGTGACAAGGACCATGAACCAGCTGTAGGCTGCTGTGGGCCATATGCAGGGGGACGCGTCGATGAAATACACGAATGTACATATTTCTCTCCCATGTTGCCCATCTTGATCAAGAACGTTTTGGCTTGAATTAAACGTTGTCATCGGTCGGTTCGAGCCGACGGTGGATATGAGCAAGTACCGCCGATAACCTGACGGTCCGTGAGTTCCTATCGATGGTGAATCCTGGAATGCTGGAATAATACAGCACTTGTGAACGTTCAGAGACACAGGTTGTGCTTTGTCAATCAGGTTATAATGTTGATGCAATGCATGGGACGTGTATGGAATGACTCCAGATCTGCATGCAGAGTGCGTTCAGGTTCAGTGCAATGCGTTCATACGTATGAAGTCTCCAGTCTACCAATTTTTTTTTTTGTCTTCGCTTCAAATCAGCGCTCACAGCACCAGTGCCGTTTACTCCAACCCGTGGTCACACAGAAGAGCCGCTCTCTACCCTCCCCTCCTGCGGTACTTTGTCTTCGATTTTTAATGCGAGAAGAGTTCAGCACTCCCTTCCCTCTGTGTACACACGAACTAGCGCTATCCACTAGGCCAGGAGCGGAAGCGAGAGAAAAGCTCACTTTTTTTATTTCTTCGCAAGAAAAGTTCGCTCACGCCGGGATTCGAACCCCTGATCTGACCTCCAGAAGGTGTCGGAGATACCAACTAGACCACCGGGGCGACCGGTGAACTTGTGTGGATTATCCATATCCATTTGCACTGCATCTGTATCACGAAGTACACCACTGCGGATACTCACGGTGTGTTGCACGCACGCTCTTTGCAGAGAGAGTGACGGGTGCAACAGTGTCGGTGTACAACCTCTTGCCTCTTGTCTACATACAGACAGGTCACCGCCTCCGTTCTTACTGCAAGCCTTCGTGTTGCACACAGCCAGGGCGCCCCTGACGAATGAGCTGCCGCAGAACGTACTCTCTCTTTCCTCCTGTTTGCCGTGTCGGCACTTGGTTGCCCAAAGAAGTGAGGACGAGGAGCGTCCTTGTGATACGTGTAGTTTCGTGTGCGAATGTTCCTGGACATTGTTGTTGTTGTTGTTGTTGTCTTCACATTAAAAACCATCCCGGTCTCTCTATCCAGTACCTCCTTCTGTCTCAATCTCTCCGTACTAATCCATCACTTGACTCGGCCAATTTCCGTGGTCACAGGCTAACGTACCTAGAAAAGGTATACCAAAATAAAATGGACCCCAAGGGTCAGCAGAGCGATAAAATACAAGAAAACA